TCTTGTTTGAATCACCCAATCCCTTCTTGCCACGTAGTACTTCTTCTTCAATCTTCTCATCTCCCTCCCTACGAGCCTCCTTCCAGAGCACCGATTCAAAGGATGAAGCCAACCACACTGAATAGCAAAGCCCTTCAACTAGAACCTCAATTTTTCGAGGAATCTCCTCAAGTTTTACACCATTCAATAAAATGGAGGCTGAACAAATGTCTCCCCAAAAGGCACCTCCTAAAGATCCTCCACACATCAAAGCAATGGCTTCAGCAACTTCTTGCTTCCATAAGTTAAAGGGATGGCCTAAGAGACGTACCATCACTCCATCTTCAACAAAGAAATCTTTGGAGTTTGATCCTGGACACCATCTTGATACTGTGAAGCTTCCAAGAGAAGCTTGGATATTTAATGCCTCAACTTCTACTCTATTCTCCAGCAGATCCAACACAGCGTTATCCTTCTCAAAGGGTGTTAAAATAAACGTACTCTTCAGCTTTAAACTTGCTATTAATAGATCTGCAACTTTCCTCCAGTCTAGTATATGAGCTGAAGCTTTAACTATCAGCTTACTTTCCCAATCTCCTCTTTGTATGTTTACTCCCATTCTATATTTGCCTACCCCAACTGTCACTAATAGAGTCTCTTGCTTATTATTTCTCACCAGACTAGTAGAAGTGCTTATCTTCCTTTTTACTATTTCTTCTCTTTTAGCACCCAAGTGTTGCAACAGTTCACATAAGACCCCATGGACTGCCTTCTAGACCTGACTCTTCCTTCCTTCTGGTAGGCAGACCATCTGCTTTCTTCCCTTGCCAAAGAATTCTGTCAAAGATATAAAATAACCTTTAAGGTTTCTCTTACATTCTACAACAAATCTTCTTTCAGTTTCTGAGAGAAACTCTTTCCAACAACTTTGTTTGCCTTTGTTACTTGCACCTTCTACAAACTCCTTGAACCCTTCTATTACCCTCAACCCGTCTAACAGCACCATCCCTCTCTTTGCTTCCCTGATCTTCAAGCTCAGCTTACCATTTAATCTTAGCTCCTCAAATAGCAGCTCCTTAGTTTCAATCTTCAAGGCTTTTCTCCAGCGGCCTACCTCCACAAACTCTCCCATCTTCAGAAGTTCTGCCTAAATCAAGTTACCTTGACCCATAGGACTTGAACAGAGCATCAACACTGCCCCTCATGCTGGGGTAGTTGTTCTCCTTGGATTTTGGATAGTCATCGACTTCTTCTTGCTTATTATCTACTACTTTACTCTACTTCCTGTTGTTTTTCTCTAATGGGTTTTTCCTTTTAGCCACCTAATCACCACCTCCGAGTCATCTTCAAGGACCAAACATCTGATGTTCAGTTCTTTTGCTCTTTGGATGCCTTTCGGGGCTGCGGGGATCTCAGCCCTAAGAGAGTCTCCTTCCCCAATTGGGCCTAAAAACATAGCAATAATAGCCCCCACCTCATTCCTGAATACTCCCCTAATCCCAGAAGGCCCCAAGTTCCTTAAACAGCTACTTTTTTTAGTGGTTTTTCACCGTTGCATGTTATTCATGGGGAGATATTCTCAATGCAAGATTTCCAGGGACTGAACCATGTGAGCGCGGTCTTGTGAGTACTGAAGCGGATTTCCCCAACAGGCCCCTTTAATCCATTTAATCAAATTGGGATCTTCTGTCAACAAAACACGTTCTAACCCTCTACCAACTTAATCTAACACTGCACATCTCACCATGAGATTGGAACCCACCATGTATCTAACACCACACATCTCACCATGAGACTGGGATCCACCATGTATAAGATGTGCGGTGTAAGATCATCTTGGTTGGCAGGTGATCCAGACTCCATTTAATCCAGCCCTAGTACTCCAAAGGCAAGACTCAATCGCAAAAAATCATAGAAGGGATAATTATTTAAACCTCCCCAGTATTTTGACCTTCGCATAAACCTGTATGTTTGAAAATAAATATGCGAATACACTGCTGTTAATTGTCATGACAGAAAATGGTGGTCTAATAATTTAAAGCTTTAAAGACATTCATAACAAGAGTAGAGCACATTTATGACTTTTAGTTTTCAACTTCTCATGGTGATATATCAGAACTGATGGTGTCAGTTCTGATATATCACAGCCATGTATTGGGAACAACTTTCCACAGAACATCCCAGCCATGTATTGGGAACATCTCCGATGATATATCAGAACTGATGGTGTCATCATTGGAAAATTTCCAATGTTTCCAACTCACCAGTTCACATTAGCAGAAGGGGTGTTTTAGCATGTTCATTTGAAACATAATTAGTAAAATCTCCAAAATACAAATTTCCTTTTTTCCGTACACCTCCCAACTGACGCCTCACTCGTATTTGCAACATTATCATTTCAAGTTGGTCTCAGTCGCAACACACAAGGAAAAAAAAAAGGCATGCATGCACGCAGATTAGCACAAAGCTCTTGAGAGTGGCGAAGCTCAACGATGAACGACCTGGTTGGTGTACTTCCAAGATTCAAGCCTTATTCGACTACAGTATTATGCCTTCTTTCGCACTCTTTTCACACTGAAACCCCGTATGGGGCACTTCACAGTAGACCTATTTATAGGTGTTTTGGGAACCGGCTTCTGTTTAATGCAAAATATAGTTAAAAATACTCAGAAACAAAACTAAAAAAAATATAAAAACATGCCATTTTAAGTATCGATACACCCCTGCTGATACACGGGCATATCGATATTTTGAACCTTGCCTAAGGGTAATCTCACCTGTGCCTAAGCATTTTGTTTTCTATGTGAGGGTGAAACAAGCTTCCTCATCCAGTTGTTGGGCTTTCCCCGGTGCCTCATGGAAAGAGTTGTGGAGTATCAATAATTTACCATTGCGGATTCTCACATTTCTATGGAGGTGTTTAAATCATTGTTTACCAATCAGTGCTAACATGGCAAGACATAATCCCAAAATTGATGGCACTAGTATTTTATGTGGTAATGAGCTGGAAACAGTAAAACATCGTTTTCTTTTTTGTCCAGCTACGAGGCTGGTGTGGTTTGGCTCGATGGTGGCTGCTAGAATCAAACCAGAGCAGGTCAGAAATCTAGAAGATTGACTCTCTATGTGGTGGAAAATTAATGAGAACTTCATGTTTAAATTATGCACCATCATCATGTAACATTCTTGGAAGTTCGGGTGCAAGAAGCAAATGAAGGGTGAGATCTTCAGCCCTGAAAATGTCATCAATAGAGCTTTTGCCCAGTTTGCCGAACCCTGTAAACATGGGGAGATGGATACAGCAATTTCGTGCAGCTCATTTCCAAACCATTTTCCTAGATCTTGGTCCCCACCACCGGCTACTCGCATACTCACATTAAACTGAATTTTGACGGGGCTTCTAGTGACTTACAATCAGGCTTCAGATGCTCTAATGTATCTAGATTGAAAAACAGTTTCATTTTGTAAATGTCCACTTCGGAATTCATACATTACGAGTTTTGCCATAGAAAAAATGTGGTTCAATGAGTTTTGCCGCACTCTCTTGAGATGTTTTTTTCATCCAGGAAGAAACAGAACTCAGCAACCACCAGTGTGAAGGTCAAAATTCTTCGATGGTGGAAAGGCATTTTGATTAGAAACAAAAGACATGAAGCCGGTTACGTGGCAAATCACAACAAAGCTTAACTCGATAATTAATTGAACATTCGTCTATTGTGTAAAATGAACCGAAGAGAATAAAAAATGTTGCATCTCTGCCCACTGGGGTGGTTTACCGATCACCCAGACTGTCTAGAACAAAATCGACAGGTTGGCTTTCAGAATCCTCAATTTGGGACTGAGAAGCTGTGAGCCTAGCCTTCTTGTAGCTGCGTGAACTTCGAAGGATCATATCCAGGCTCATGTTCTTTGCACCTGCAGAACTACATAAGGGACAAGTAGTTAATATGGTAGTAATTCCTGTTTAAGATAACTGGTGCAATATCTACTCAAACCAAATGGTAAAAATTGCAGAACCTATTTAGCAGATCTATTACGCACACAACCACAAAAAAAACTGCATAGCAACCTCTATCAAATAAGTAAACCATTTTCCAAAGAATTGCATCTTTCTTTTACGACCACACAAAAGAATCTATCTTGAGATTATTAGCTAGTAGGATCAATTTATATAGTAAGCTTCAAAGCATTCAACATGCAGAATATAAATTGAACACTTGGGACTAGTAAAATGTTGATAGATTTTACACAATTGTTCAATGCAATCTAAAATAGAGTAATCCACGGGCTACCTGATGCTCATCTCAATTGTCTAATGGTAGAACTTGTATCATACACTGGTAACATAATGTCTGAAGTGATTTCAAAATGCTCACCTTTAGACTGAGCTTGGTTGTGATGCAAATGCCAGAACAGTACACTATACAGTCCAGTTCGGCTTTGCAGGCATTTGGTAAATGCATGGAAATGCACTGAAAACTGAGGTAAAAACGTAAACTTGTAAGGGATTACCTCAATTTTGGGCATCTTCGATTTTATCAAAGTTTCTTCTTCCATCGAAGGAAACAGGTAATCCTTTTGCTCTCATCATCAGCATCTTCCACGTTATTACACCAACAATGAATGGTAACTAGTTCAGATTTATGAAACCTTCTGTTGACGACAACTGCAAATGATTTCCCCCTCCTTACTTCAACTGAAGTTTCCAATTCACGGTATGCAAACAGCTAACACAATTGAGAAACTTGCTAAAGACCAGTTGGAGGTGCTTGAAAAATCAACAAGGGCATTGGTTAAAGAACATGGCTGCCGATGAGGAACTTGTTAAAGAACAGGGCATCAATTAAACCTCGAAGATTTTCCACGGTCAGTTACCAAACGGAAAGAGCGCAAAGTGGGCATGGAAAATTGAACCCACTTTGCATTCACTGAACCCGGGTAGGTGGAAAAAAGTAGCATACACATTTGTGTTTGTATGGCTGCCAAATGAGCTAGTGATCTTTGGCTTTCTGCAAGATTTTGTGTCAATACTAGATCAGGTTTAGGTGGATTTGGGTTCAGAAGCTACCAGCTTGTTTTCACATGAATACATGCTTTCATAAGTCATTGCCAAGTAACTTGCTTGAAAATCTACAAGCAATTCTCCATGTAAAAATTGAACGAAGAAAAACACGCTAATCACCGCTTGAAGGCATTTCATGATTGGGTTATTCCTACAATTCTCTTTCAACAGTCTTAAACTATTTGAAATGCTCCAACACATAGCCTAAGCTGTAAACTTATTTTTTATTGTTTTTATTCCTCTTCTGATTCCCTCCTTATTCCTTGTTTGGCAACTTTTTTCTCTATTTTTAACTGCCGCCTTATGGATCTCCTAGATGAAGAAAAAGGTATGCAGCAGTTCAAAAATAAAAAGAATTTAAGGCCTTTAAGTACAAATGATTGCTTGCTCCACCCATACCTAGCTGCAACAAGTAAGGAACATTGTCTGCCAATACTTATTCCTTGGAGTTAATTCTTATGACACCTCATTAATTAGATTCCACATTCTTATCTTAGTCATATCATGAGATCTATTAATAAGAGCCCACTCTCTAAAGCTTATGCTAGTATGACTGTTTAGATCAATGTAATGCAAATTGATCCCGCAGGTTTTAGAATTCCACCATTCTGCTTGTTCACAATATAATTTTGATCAATCAATTCAATTTTGATACAAATATGAACAATATATAGGACAGTCAAAGTGGAGCCATTGCTCAGTGTGATGATAGCCCCAGGCTGACCAGTGTTTAAAAGTGAGATGCGCAATAAAAGAGCTAGGGATTCAATGCCTGAGGTGCAAAAGGCACAAGTAAAATAACACAATATGAATATCATTTGAGAGAGTTTGGTCAAAATATGATTAATAAATAAGTCATAGATGGGCTATTGCACGGTATAATAGTAAAATCTCAGGCCAAGTAGCTAGCAAGCATGAGAATGTGGATTTGAGTCCGAGGTCCATATCCAGTTCACCCCTCCCAAGACCCTAGATAGCAGGCAACAATGTGTAAATGGCCAGAATAGATCGGTCACAGAAATGAATATCTTTATGGTGATTAGAGTCATCTTCAACTTAAAAGTTAATAAATCACCTGTCTTTTCCATATTTTAGACTCTAACAAGAGACATTATAAGGTTTATTGCTTTAAATAAGTAATAAATCAAGATTAAACTAAATGTGCTTTGTCCTATTGAATATCACTTTCTAAGGAAATGATTTGTTTTCCTTTGTTTTACATGCAACCATACATTGCCTCAGTGTAAGCCCAAAATGTTCTAAGTACTTTATACTTTCAGGCCTCAATTGTTTTCCAAAAAAGACGAGCAGATAAGTTGGTGGATTCAACAGAATTGAAAGAAAGCTGCATTCGGCCACCACTATAATGGGACCCACGGAAAACAATTTTTCCGGTGCATGGGCAAGTTACTTAGTACTTACCCACCTGACAAAAACTCAAAATGCTCCTGCTCCGTGCCTTAACCGGGTAACTTATTGCCTAAACGAACACTGCCTTTTTAAGTACCTATTTCCCCGGGAATCAGGTGCCCAGGGAAATGAATTAAGCCTTATTATTAGTAGTCAAAATGTCAATTATAAACTCTTTAAGTCCTAGTCATCCAGTTCCTTTACCCTATAAATATGGGACACTTTTTGTTTCTAGAGTCATTAAGTTGTTCCGAGTTTATTACCGTTATATGAATAAGTTCAAATATGTACAAAATCTCTCCCTAACCGTTACAAAAGATCAGAAATAAAATTACAATGCTGCCCAGAATAAATGGTCCCTAGTAGCCCCCTGTTTAGCAAGATGATCAGCCAAAACATTTGCCTCCCTACCCACCCACTGATATCTCGTTATGTGCCTTGTTAAACATTTAACTTTTTTTATGAGATCCCTATAACTCCAAACAACTGAGTCTGGATTTCACAGCCAGCACACAATCACCTTAGAATCCCCTTCAATCAATAGGTTCTCCACTCCTAGTTGATTAGCAATCTGAATTCCCTGTACTGCAGTCAATATCTCAGCTCTTGTAGAGTCCCCTATCCCTATCAGGCCTGAGAATAAGGATATGATGTTGCCATTTTCATTCCTCAATACTCCTCCAATGCCAGGGGGAGTTACCCAAACTATAGTGGCTCTGGTTTTCCTAACCGAGCCTTTTCTCTACCCCTTTCATTTCCTTGTATTTTTCTAATAATCATGCCTCAAACATATGTTCCCTATCCACCCCTTGCTTTGCTAAAGCATCCACCAAGTTGTTAGCCTCTCTTAGTCAGCCACCTGAACCTTTTTTCTTCATTTCTGTGCACCACAAACCAGCCTCTCCCTTTTGTAGTCATCCAACCCATCCTTGAATCCCCTTCAATTATCAGCTTTTTTCCACATTCATCTCTTTTGCTCTTTAGACCTTTACACACCTTCCATTACAGCCATAACTTCATCCCTTAGTGAATCTCCCACACCAATTGGACCTGAAAACAAAGCAACAATATAGCCTTGTTTGTTTCTAAAGGTTCCCCCAACCCCTGAATTTCTGGGGTTAGCCTACAGTTCCACCAAAATTGAATACCATGGATATGGTGCACAGGGTGGAGACCACTGTTTAAACCCAGATCTGACAAAACACTAGACCCCACAAGATAAAATAGACTGACGGTGTTCAACGCTATTACATGCAAATAAGGTTTGACTGACCTATATATTATTGAAGCTAAGTAGGAATCTGCAATTTTTAGACAATCTTCTTGAGACCATTTACTTAATTATTACCAAAGTATCAATTGCAGAGCTTTTTATAAGTTGACCCAAATTGCACAAACCCATTAGAGTAAACAAGAACCATTTTGATGACCAAAGAAGTCTCCTTAAAGATCTTTCACTTCGATGTTATGGTTTGATTCCTGGTGTTATCATTTGAGGTGCCTTATTACCATCTAGCATTTCTTTGGATTCCTAGTTAAATTCCAATTATATAAATTCCTAGTTAAATTCTTGATTTTGATTTATCTATAAATTCATAAGTTTGGAAAACTAATTACACTTACATACATTCCTAGTTAAATTCTGAACTTTCTAATTTATTTTTCTCTTACTCAAGGCCATATTCAATGTTCTTAGCCAACCAACTAAAATTTCATAACTTGAAATAAAGCAAATAGGTGACTTTCCATTGGGTTCTCCCATAGTATAATTGGAAATTAATTTGCGAAATATAATTCATAGGTCCCCTACTTCGTTGAAGAAAACTTCCTTGAGATTTGCTTCTGGAAGTGCATAAGTGTTTAATCCACTCCTGATTTCTGAAAAACATAGAAGGTTTACAAGACTAAAATCAAGTTTCCAATGTATGTTCTGCAGATGGGACAAGAACAGCTTCACATATGCCAGCAAGTAATGAACCCTAGACTTGGATCCTCCTTAAACGTGTATCACCGTCTTTATTTATTTGTTTGTTTATTTTTTACAAGAAAATGTGTATCGCCATCATGAAAAATGTTAAAATAGCAAAGCAGTCAAAAAAACTCATGCACATCTCATGAAAAATGTGTATCGCCATCATGAAAAATGTTAAAATAGCAAAGCAGTCAAAAAAACTCATGCACATTATCACATCTCAGAAGTCAACTTACTTAAGAAAAAAAGAAAGAAAGTTCCATGTTACCAAACTAATATCTATATAAAATAATTAATATCCACTTACTGTGATATAGTCATGTTGTTGCCACCATTTCCCTTCCCCTTCACACGGTAGGATCCTGTAACAATTGGAAACAATAAAAAACAAAAATAGCTTTAATAGAATACGTTAACAAGAGGCCCAGAAGCTAGAGTTTTATGGGAAAATATATGGCAAGCATCTCTATATGTTTACAAATTCTTGTTAAGGGGCATTCTAAGGGAAGAAACTGACTAATATCTAGGAACATTTAACCTCAGAATGATAGTGCCAAAGGGCAGAGATGTGAAATTACCATTGTGTGGTGAATCCACAACATCCGGGTCTTTCCCTTCTGAATAATCAGATGAGGATGAACTATCCGAAGGACTTTTGGTGCTTGCCCCTGAATCATTTATTTCACCTTCACCTTCAGAAGTCTCGCTACTACTTTCCTTAAAAATTGTGCCTGGAGTTGATAGCAAGCTCTTCACATGGTTAGAACTGTTAAGAACCTCCCCCGTTTTCTTTCCGGAAGCCTTTCTGGAAACTACCCGATAATTGTTGGACTGTAGCTGAAGCTCTCTACCCCCTTTATTTTGGTAAACACCTTCCTCTGGACTAGAGCTTGATGCAGTTCTAGTAGCACTCTTTCCTTTCATATTGTTAGAACTTGCTCTAGGTGGACCTTGGGTTAACGGTAAGCGCGAAGAGTTATTGAGCCCAGAAGAATAAAAATTCTTGCCCTCAGAGATTTCATTGGAAACAGCACCAAATGCATCCTGGTAATGAGAAATTTGACCCTTCACCCCATTATGGTAAGGTATTAGCACATTCTGTTCAGTCTCCGAATATGGTCTTTGAATTTGAATTCTTTCAGTTAGGCTGCCTGGATTTATTTTATGTCCCTGTTTGTCACTTGACTTGAAGGAGCTTTCTAAATCTGATGAGGTACCTTTATTTTGAGAATTAAGCCTTTTTGATTTCTTATTAACTTGCAACTCCTCTGATTTCTTGGTCTGAATCTCCTTTCCAACAAGGTCTTTAGCAGGAGCAACAACTTCACACTGGTTTTGGCTATGCACAAAGTAGTCAATGAAGTTGACCCTATCACTATCAACCTCAGGAACTTCCATGTTGTTACCTTTATTTTCATGGTCATTAACAAGGTAATCATTTTTAGTATTAACTACTTGACGGTTTCCCTCTGAATAACATTCTCGGACATCATGTAGAATATCGGGAGATCCATTTGTCCCAGAGATCAGGTACAGCTGGGGATACTCATCCCTGATCTTACTATTACTACCTTCCTGGGCTTCTAATGTCGATCCTGTTAACTGATCTGCATGAATGGTTTTCCCCAACTTCTGTCTTTTTGTCTTTTTAGATACAGAATTATTTTCTTTCTTCTCATCAACTGAAGGTTCAGGATCTTCGGTGCCAAAATCATGCTCTTTCACCTGCAGAGTTGAGGAGGTTTTGGCAATGGAAGTATGAATCTTTTTTGACTTCTTTTTTACTTTACCACCACTGTCATCAGCAATATCTTGGATTTTGGTGATTTTTGCTAGAGGAGAAGAGTCATCATCTACCCTATCAGCTTCCTTGTCAATATCCAATAATGAAGCATTTGGTGCTATTTTACCCTCTTTCTCAGATTCATCAACAGGATGCTCACTGCTGACATCCTTCTGAGGCTCAGATTGTGAAGGAATGGCATCCCCATTAATGCTATCATGTCTTATGCTTGAAGGTAAGGTGTGGCTCTTCACATCAGAATGCTTGGCTTTCTTTGACTTTTTTCTTAATTTACTACTAAGTTCACTGGTCCCTGAGATACCAGAGGTATCCAACAACCTAGACAGAGCAATGTTTTTCATGTTTAATTTTGCTTCATACTGAACAAATGAACCTGACTTAGCAGTGGGTATTTCTGATGGCATTGCTTTAGGATCACAGCTTTGAGACAACAAATTCTTCGTTCTTACATTATCATTACAATCATCAGAAGTCTCTAGGATTTTGTTGATTTGAGTTAGAGGTAAAGAGACATCACCTCCAATCACCTTATCAGCTTCTTGGTCAGTTCCCAACAATGAAGTATCTGGTGTCCTTGCTTTAGATAGTTTTTCTCTTTTAGTCCGGGAAATGATGCTATGCTCTCTATCACTTTCATCACCAGGGTAATTACTGGTTAAGGCTTTATGAGGTTCAACTCTTAAAGGAATAACATCTCCATCATTTCTAGCATTTTTTACACCTGAAGATAAAGCAAGGCTCTTCGCATCAGAATCCTTCACTTTGTTTTTCTTTCTTCTTTTATCACCAATCTCTGAGATAACAGAAGTGTTGAACAACTTAGACAACACAAATTTATCTTTCATACTCATTTCTCTGTCATCTTGTACCAGTGAATCATTCTCGGAATTGGGTACTTCTGATGGCATCATTTTATGAACCCCATTCCTTGACAATGAATTCTCCACCCCCTCAGTTTTACCTGGCCTATTGGTTACAAAATTATCATCATCAGGAACAGCATTCTCACCCACTAAATCCTTTGAGAAGTTGTCTGTTTCACCAACTAAAGGATCATTAAGGCAATTTGCATCAGCACGGTGGCGCTTCTTCAACTTTTTTGTTTTTTTAGCTTCAGATGCCACTACTTGATCAGAAGCAGGCACCTCTTCAACTGGAACAGATGGCTTTTGCTTCTCAATGATAGCACTAAGATTTGTTGGAGATGCAACAGCAAAAGTTTGTTCAGGAAGGACTACTGCATCAGATTCTTTGCCCATGTCCTTTTGGTTTCCTTCAAATGCTTTCTTAGAAATATCCTGCTTGACATTTTCCACAGATGAAGGGACTGTGGAATTTACCTCATCAGTAAAACTTGATTTCTTTTTCTTTCTCCTTTTCTTATTCTCATTACTTAGACTAGTTGAAAGCAAATGATCATCGTCCAAGAGCTTAGTAGATAAGTCAACCAAATAAGTATCTTTAACTTTCTTGCTAACCTTCAATGTGTTCTTGAGGGTATTTTCCAGTTCGGATCTCCCAACATCATGGTCTTTCAAAGGAACATCCATGGCATTGTTAACACTATTTTCTTTCTTTGCAACAGCCCCATCTGCTAAGGAATCTCCCACCATGCCATCACACTTCATGTCCAAAATCCTATTTTCAGTCGTATCCTTCTGTGGAGTATGAGTTCCTGAATCTTCCTTGCCCTGGCTAAGTAGATTACCTTTCTTCACTGCTTCAGAACCTGACCCCTTATTTGCTTCAGAAGAAGAATACTTGAAATGCTCCTCAGCTTTACTTTTCACTCCAATGCTCAGATCCTTTGGCACTTCTGTACCTGTATTGCCAGCACACAACTGCAAAATAGGGTGATCTTTCTGGTTCACAACCTGGCTGCTTCCAACTTGTGGCAATGATGAACAATCAACAATGGTCATCTTCTTGGAAGGGCAACCAGATAGTAGAGTAGTCCTTTCAGCTGAAGGACCATTTGTAACACGAACACAGGCTAGTTGGTCACTAGCACCAGGCTCCAAGAAGTTAAGATATTCTCTAAACCCTGCTTTGCTAGGAGAAACATCAATTTGAAGAAACCAGCTCTTTGTAACACCATGGAAAGCACTTCTAACAAGCATAGAATCTACTAGGTGATAGAAGCACCTTCTACGCTTTATCTGCAAGGATTATCACCCTGTGTGAATAATAGATTTAGTGGGCAAGACTGTTCAAACACCATTATAGTGGAGTGACATACCTTTAAAGCATCAATTGTTATCTCCCCAATGTTAGGAAAACAACGGAGATGTTCAACCATTATTTTCACTGCAACACCAAAAGCATGGCAAATTGAAATTGCATGCCAGTTTAGAGAGCATGAAGCATAGAATATCAATTATGCATAGTCAAATATCTAATTAGAAAAAAGAATATTTAATCCCATTTTGGAGTTCTCCACCAAGAAAAAAGAAAAGATTTTGACTTTCAATAGGAGTCTATCTTATAGGGTAACTTAGCCACATATTCCAAGCTTTCAGGAACAGACATGATAATTGGTTTACATAGAACCAGTTTACAAGTCAATGGGACGTTTAGCAATTTAGGTAACCAAGATCAAGACAATTCTTATCGGAGTAATTGGGTATATTTTGCAGTGTCAAAGTAGACTCCATCTACAGAAGAATGATCAAATGATTAGATAATCTCGTCAAATAGCACAGACAGTGATTGTTATTCCCTACTCCTTAGGTAACTCAGGGCCTTCTGGAATTAAGAAGCACTTAGAACGGTTTTAAGGTGATCATTCTAGTATGTTCAGGACTGCTTGGCATGCAAGATCTAGCAAAGACCAAACTCTTATATTTGATGGAGGGACTAATGCTATCAGAGAGGAATGATCTCAGTGATCAGGTAATCTTGTCAAATAACACAGACAATGATGGTTATTCCCTACTTCTTAGGTAACTCAGGGCCTTCTGGGATGAAGAATTACTTTACAAGGTGACCATTCTAGTATGTTCAGGACCAGTTGGCATTCTGGGTTTAGCAAAGACCAAAGTTTTATGATTGATCCAGAGACTCAGACTATCAGAGTCTATGAGCTATTAGGGGTAACTGCTAAGGATGTTCATAGATTGTAATAAGATGGCAAAGAAAAATAATCAAGACAGTGAGTCAAGTCATGGAGGCTATGCTATCAGATTAGAGAGGTGAATCTTTGGCATCTATCATGAACTCCTCATTCCATTGGGTTTCTGAATTCACTAAATCCTTAGCTGAAATCTTACAAGGGAAGCTCGTAGTGAAATTAATTGGGAGTGTATCTGTGTCATAGCCAACTTGATGGCTTTCTTTTTTTCTATACTAGTATAGGGAGCCTGCTGGGTTTAGCGGACCAAGATCTACTGGTAAATTTGATTATTGGAGATCTACACTTGCATACTATCAGTCTCTTTTTACATACACATTATGCTTACTGATGGGTCATTTAGCAGACCAAGATCTAATTATAAATTTGATTCTTGGAGATTTACTCTTGCATATCATCACTCACGTTCTTACATACACATTATGCTCACTGATGTATATTATACAATCAAATACAAAAATAAACAGATATATAGATAATCATGCTTTCCCAGATGTTGTATAAAATTCTTAAGTTCGGATATTTGAATTCCTAAAGAATGAAGGACCAAAAACATATGATATCACCTTAAAATCTAGGCAACTCTTGCCTTCAAAAATTGAACTGTCTTGTTCTTTTCAATCACTCCAACATATTGCAAACCAAATCAAGATCCAAAAAACAGCTTTTCCTAAAGAAGCCTTTCACACACCAAGCCTGAATACACGCTCCTTGAAAAATGGCCCATTAGAAACTTAAAAGACAAATGAAGTGCAACCACTTAACTATCATGGAGCAGGGACAGTGAACAGGGTGCAAGACTGATCCCTTAGAAATCCTGCATAGGGAAGACTCATTTCTACATTCCAATGCCCATATAAGATGGTTGATGGTTAAAATTCTATCCAATAACACCATCCACATAAAGGTGACCCTTTTCTCAAATATTAGGTTTGCAAATCCAACGACATGAAAGAGGTTCTTACTTCCTACATATGACTAATAGATAACATTGATTTCACCATGAAGTCCCCCTTCTGAGTCCGCCTCCCATATTCTCATATCCCCCCTCTCTAAAGATAATCACGTTTTGCTCTATTTGCCACTAAAGATTTACCAACTGAACCACTTCCCAACATTGGTATGTGACACAAGCCATTATGAACAAATATGATTTCCCATGACTTCAAAGATTTCTTTGACTGCCACACCTCTTACCACTGCAATCTAATATATCAGCGCCAAATTTTGTATAGATACATACAGGCAAATAAGTGCATGCCAGCATAAATAAAAGGAGCAAATAGGAGAGAGAGAAGAGCAGTGGCTTTTCAGATTACTTTTGAGGTCGGTGACAGTATCCTCAGCTGAGACGATCATGGCGAAATGTGTATCCAGATTGGTGTCCACGAAGACTGTATGATCCGCAGAAGATTCCGAAGCAGAACTATCTTTCGCCGCCATTGAAACGGAAGGAGAAAAAAGTTCAGGGACCGAAAGACGATGGATGTAGAAAGTAATACAAGAAGCTACATCCACATCCAGGCTTCGTTCGGCGGCACTCGGCACTCGGAAGGCGGGGAGGTTTTAAAACGCTTAACACATTATAATGATAACTTGCGCCGTGAGCAAAGACTCCCACAGTCCCACGCAAAACGACACGAACTCGGAACTGACCCGCTGTGTCAAAGTAACGCCTTTTCCCGTGACTCCGTGAGCCGTGACCGTGAGGACAAGAAGCCCAGACAAATCAAAGGTGAAAACCACAGTATTTAGGGTTTTGCGAACCTTGCACTGATTGTGTGGGTCCCACCACTGTAGGCAGTGTAACCAAACAGAAAGCCATCCAATCCTACTTCAGTCCAATCCTTGAACCGTAGTACACTAGAATTCGGATGGTTCGGTTTAACTAAGTCCTACTTCAGGTAGGGGTGCAACTTGGGTGGGGTGAGTCGGATTGAGGGTCAACCAGGCCCAGTTTGGAAACCTGAGATCGAACCCGAACTTAGGCCCAACTCAAGTTTAGCCCGATATAATTTGGGTGAGACACTGGTTGAATTTTAATTGAAACAGGCCTGGGTGGGCTGGTAAGGTTTTTTTTTTTTAAATGAGTATATTTTTGTACAATTATGAATTATCTTTTATTGGATTAGAAATGAAATTGATTGAAAATATGTGTAAATTTTATTAATAAATATATATTTATTTTAAATATATAGATAAATAATTAGAAAACTATATTTTTGTAAATATATATATGTAACTATTTCAGATGGACTAGAACTTAATCGGACTATACCTATTTACCAAAAAAAACCAAAACCAAAAAAAAATCTGAAAGAAAAAACTTGGATTGGACCAATACGCCTTGCATGGTGCCCACCTTCTCCCACACCCCAATCCATGTTTTAAACCCGTTATTGACCCAGCAGTCGGAATGTTGATCCCCTTACAATTTGATTTGGGTCAACATCTATTCCACTATATTATAATATATACATATATATATATACAAGTACAAAGTATCGACCCGTATCAGTCAATACGTATCATTTTGGGAACTCTTTGATAGCTTCTACAGGGGGTGTACCAGGGTTTTTGACTGGTTCAGGGGGTGGAGGAGCCTTAAATCAGCCCCCCTGAACCGATTTTGAAAAAAATAAAAAAAAAGTATAAAACAAAGTACCAATATGGTCCGATATGCCCCTATCAGTATATCGATATTTTGAACCTTATATATATATATATATATACCTGACCCATTCAACGAATTTTTTGTTTTTTAATAATTTTTTATATGAATGATATTATGGATTAGTTTGTTGATCCATACGGTTGAACCGCTGACCTGTTGCCCAAGATGAAAAAGGGCGGTTCAACCCTTAGGACCCCCTGTTGGTTTTGTCAAATTGAACTCAAATGCTTCAGAGGTCACACATTCACACTGCACTTGGCTATGCTTTAAGATCATCCTCAGGTGCTTTGATAGCTGCAGGAGGTAGACAAACCCATAAAGCACCGATTTTAACTCTATAAGCTTTGGCAATGAGACGAGGGCTAGTGGAGGCTTAACAAGCAAGGGTTAATCGACTGATAGTAGAGTTTGATTGTAAAGATCTTATTAATGGAATATCTCTGGGGTGCAAAAGCTTCCATTCTGAAGTAAGGACATTCATGAACTAGCTCGCCAGTTTCACTCTATTTCTTTCGTTTGGATTAGCAGAACTGTTAATCGAATTACTCATGAATTTGCAGCTTTTTGCTCTCGCACGGCTGACTGGTATGGCTGTGCAGCTATTGGACGGGTTAGAATCTGCCCCCCACTGACTTGCGCCCCAAAATCGTCCCACACTATTAGAAATTGCCGCGTATCCTCCACACGCATGCATCTCAATCTCGTGCGAGGCTAATGAAACGGCGGTTAGCTCCCATTTCACCCAAAAAAGTCGGTCTCGATCTTTATTTCAGCCTCTCACTCCTCCTGCCCTTCGAAACCTAGACCACGGCATCTCCTCCCCCGCCGGATTTTGTCAATAAATCCAACGCCGACGATTATTCCGGTAGATACACCGGGGATATATAATCCCCGTTCCTCTCATCTCAGATATTCTTGAATATGTTTTTCTCAGTTTTTTTAACCTTCTTTTTTTGCAATAAAAAAAAAAACGCAGAAGGGAAGAAGATACAGGTGCTGGCTGTGGTAAGAACTCAAAGGCTTGAAACAACGACAACAATGTCTTTTTATGTCATCCCCAGAAAGTTCTTTGTCTTGATTATGAGACTTTTAGTTCGACAAACCAACTGCTTGATTTCTATTTAAAGCACAGAAACACATCACTTGTTTATGAGGTCCTCAGCGCCAACCCTATGATCACGGAAACGATTGTGCTCTGTCTGGCCCATACAATTTTTATGGTTTTAATTAACGCCATATTCATTCTTCAAATAACCATGGATTTTGCTCTTATCTTTGCACTGCGTATCAGCCCAGCTGGAGACATTCCATGGTTAAACTCAAATCAGTGAATTTAGAGTGGAGTATTGCAGGAGGAAGAGAGAACAGATTCGAGAATACCTATCGGCAATTCTTCCCTTTTGCGTTTTTTCTATTGCAAAGAAGTTAAAAAACTAAAAAAAAAACATATCTGAGAATATCTGAGATGAGATGAGAGGGATGGATGGTGTAACTGCAGGAATGATCGTGGCGTCGGATTTCTTGGCAAGAACGGGACGAACTAACGGCCGTTCCATTAGCTCCGCACGAGGTTGAGGCGCTTGCGTGTGGGAGGACACGCGGCGTATTTTAATGGTGTGAGACGTTGGGTGGCAGATTCAAACCCCTATTGGACCTCCTTGCCTGGAGAATTTAATCTCGCAAGATTGTTAAGCGTCTTTGTTCTATGTCTTCTTTTGTCATTAAAAAAAAGATAAATTTCTTAAATTATCTTTATGGTTAAGTTAATTAACTAAGTGAGTGATGTTATCCCTATTATCCTACTGGTTCTATCCTTATCGTTTGCATCTATTAATATTCTGTTACATTCGCATATAAATGACGTATATTTTTTTAATTCCAATTTTACCCCTACCGTCTTGTTCCTTTCAGCAGCAAACCGAACTGATTCGGTTCTTAAGGAACCCAGTATTGCCTCCATCCAAAATCAACTATACTACCCAGAAAAAAAAAAAGAAAGAAAAAACGAAACAAATAGATAGAGCGGGGGATGCCAACCGAATATCCTTCATTGGGAACAAGAGAAGAGCTCCAGAGCGGATTTGCTAGAAAGAGCTTCGGTGTTTCCATTAGCAGTCTTTCTTCATCGATTCAGCTCTGAAGTAATCTCAGCGGAACACAAGAACAGAGAAAGAGAAAAGAGGAGATAGTGGATACCGCCCAAGTCCTTCAAACAATCTCCAACCTACAGCTAATCTTGCCACGAAGGTGCCGGTGCCGGAGGGGGTCGATGTAGACGACGGTGGCGGAGCTATTACAGTGGTTGTTAGTTGCTGTTACAGTGGCACATGCAGCATGTCAGCAGTTTTTAATCCAAAGCCCAAAGGGAGTCATGCCTTGCTGAAGCTGAAAATGAAAAATTCGTTGACGATGGTGGTGGTGGCGGAGCTGAACCCGACCCCAATGATCGGGTGAAGAGAAGTTTGATTTGCAGGGGTTGCAGGGGTGAAGAGAAGAAGAAGAGGAAGGGTTTGTTCTCAGCATGGGTTGCAGGGGTTGCAGAGATCCCTCCTCTACGCCTCCCTCTTTCTGTCGCCGACGATGCCATGATGCCATGGGTTGCAGGGGTGAAGAGAAGAAGATGAGGAAGCGTTTGTTCACGCCATAGGTTGCAGGGGTTGCAGGTTTTGTTGCAGAGATCCCTCTTTCCGTCGCCGACGATGCCATGATGCCACGGGGTTGCAGGCTCCGAAGAAAACCAGAGCACGAGGCGCAGAGCCATTCTCTTCTTCTCTGAAGTCCGAGCAATCCTAAGCAAAGTGGGCTCGGTGAGGGTTGGTTTGGGCGGTATAAGATGAGGGCGGATTTGGGCCTACAATGTCATTGTGATACATGGCATCTTTGAACAATTAGGTGACATCTAGAACCATTTAGGCAACAACTTGTCTTAGTTAAGCTGATGGTGTCCGATCTGGTGACCTGGCAACTTGGCATAGGCGCCGATCTGACGACCTGCGAGACGTGTTCGCCAACAAATTCGGCATGCATATCCCAATACTCCCACGATCCTTGGAAGTTGGCCCACGTACCGAACGATCCGGAGGGTGGTCAACGTGCATGGCGGTTGCCTCTAGGAATCTCGGACCACTTAGGCGACTTCTCAGAAATCTCGAATACGGTGCATGAAACCCACGCCAAACAATACCTATATAAAGGCACTAACCCCAATGGCATAAGGGGGGGGGGGGGGGGCAAGTAAGCATATTCTAGCTCTCATACTTTGTGATTTTTAACTTGCAGTCTATTATGAGAGTATTGACTTAAGCATCGGAGCGACCTTGCCAGGTTAGCCACCCCGGGTCCTCTGACATTGATTCCTTGCAGGTCTCTAAAGAACTACGAAGCTCAACAATCAATCCAATTCAGGCCATTCAGTTCGACACCTAACCTGCCCAGCTCGGCCTAGTCAGTTCGACACCTAACCTACACAGCTCGGCCCAGCAGTTCGGCACCTAACCTGCCCAGCTCGGCCTAGTCAGTTCAGCACCTAACCTGCTCAGCTCGACCTAGTCAGTTTGACACCTAATCTGCCCCTAGCTTGGCCTGGTCAGCTCGGCATCCAGGTCCTCATCCAACAAAAGTTCTCTACTTCGGCCTCTGAGTCATCGACCACTTGGAAGCAGACCAAATGACGAGGTACTTAGCCAAAAAATTGATCCATCAGTATCCATTGGTTCGGACTTAGAAGCCAAGTAACAACAGTTGTGCAGACTTGAAGGAACCCATATGAGAATCCGATCGTCATCCGCTATTCTAGTAGTTTCAGTGGTTCCGATAGTTCCAACAAAAAAAATGAGAAGGAGAGGGAAAGATAGTTATAGTTGAGGGTAAAATAGTTCCCGGCACTGCACGGCAGTGGCACCATGGCACGCAGCATGCACCGCCAGGCAGCAGCGCACACCGCACGCACTGCACGGCAGCACGCACTGCGCACACACCCGGCACCAC